GCGGCCGCGGCGGGGCGCGCGCTCGGATCGCCCTCCCCGGGGCCGCCGCCTCACCAGCTGTTCCCGGCGGCTGCAGCTCCGATCGGCTGGCGCCCGGCGGCCCCGAACATTAACGACACCGAGGAGCCTGGCCGGAGGGCTCAGGCCCGAGAGCAGACTCCAGTCACTACAGCCCGGGAGACTTCCACAGAGCAGTTCTGCATTTTCAGGGAACTTCCGGAAGCGGCCCGGAGGCGGAACCGGAAGTTGGACGCAACCATTAGTCCCCCCCACACACACAAACAAACAGTGCTTGCCTACTTTTAGTAGCAGCGTTTCATTGATAGAAGAGAAAAATAAATTTAACTTTTCACTGGCCAAAAATTCCTAGTTTTCTTCTTGGTATTCCTAGAACCTAATCATGGTGAAAGAAGGAAACGAAAAGTGGACCCCCCGGGGCTGGATAATGGTGCGGCCCGGTTGCCTAGGAGACCGAGTAACACCGCGGAGAGCCTAGCTAGGGTTCATGGCCACGTTAGCCCGGCTGCAGGCTCGCTCGGGGTTTGTAGGCAGCCAGTACTACTTTAGGAACAGGTGAGTCATGAAGAGAGGGGTTGGCGGCGGGACTTGGGCCCCTTGTTCCTCCACGGGAGTTTTCCGTGGACAAAGTCCTTGAGTTCAATAAACAGCACCCGCTTCGCCCCGTTAGCTGCCACAGAGAAGCAGAAGGCTGAGCGTAGCCTTCTGCCCGCCGGCGTTCGGTACAGAGAGACCTGAGCGACCCCGATGTAAGGCGCGGGCCAGCACTGCAGGAACTCCCAGTGGGGGTTCATCCCGGGCACCCCGCTTAAATCTGTGCGGCGCAACCTGTGCCGTCCCTGTCCAGCAAGGTCCAGCGGCCTGGCGGGGTCACTGCGCAGAGCTCCGTGGGCCCTGGCTGTCACACACATCTTGGAGAGTTAGGACCACTGTGCCCCTTAACTAATAGAGGGGAGCGAGGAAGACGCTGGCTGCGCCTTCCCTGGCCTGCGGCTCACCGTAACAGCGCCCCGAAGTTGGCCCCGAGCTTCAGTTCGGGTCCCTGCGTGCAGCGCCTTGGCGCATCAATCACTTGTTTTTAAGCAAACATACTAAAAATAGCTAGAAATTCTCTGTTCAGCATTCAGAAATTTAGCATTGTCTTAGAGTATGTGGCAGGCCCTGAATTTATTTATGATAAATATATATGAATGAAATCATTTCCCTGCCTTATGATATTCAAAGCCTAGTATGGGATATAGGAGTTTAAAATTTTAATTTGGATATAGTAAAATAGAACAAGAAGAAAAACACCTAACAGTTCTTAAGTTTAGATTACATACAGGTATTGTTTTAGGAACTTTTTCACGCATTTCATTTATTAGAGCGTTATTGTATTGATGTATTCTGCCAACATTTTCGTTACTGTGTGCTGGTTGTAGAGATCAGTGCGTCTCATTTTGGCAGGTCTGTATGTGTGCTTACTTGCTTTCACCGTGTCCCTTGCCCTTTGGTTGGCCCTTCTTCCGCTCTTTCTTCCCTTCCTCCGCTTTATCAGCTGACTCTCTGCTACTTTCTTGTCATCTTCTTTAGATTCCCTGGTCGGGGAGAATGGGAGGTATTTATCTTTCTGAGTCTGTCTGCTTTAACTCAACATGAAGATCTCCAGACCCCTCTATTTTTTCCTGTAAATGACAAAATTGATGTTTATCTTCTGTATGTACCACATGTTCGCTCTGTTCATCTGTTCATGGGCAGCTTGCCTGGGTCCATACCCTGACTACTGTAACTGGGCCACAGTAATCATGTGTGTACAGGAATCCATGTGGTGTGCTGATTTTAATTCTTCAGGTACATACCAAGGATTGGCACAGCTGGTCGGAATAGTGATCATCAAGAGTACAAATAAAATATCTCAGCAGAGTAAGCATCTGCTTTGGCAAACTCAGAGACCAGGGTTTGATCCCTGGTCCTGCATACTGTGCTGGCCCCACCTCTGGGCGTGCTGAGCCAACAATGGAGTCCAGATGTTACCAGTAGTGTATGCCTGAAATCTCAGCCCTGGGGAGACTGAAAACAGGAGGATCACTATGAGTCAGAGCTGTGTAGTGAGACCCCGTACCAAATACATAAATGAGGGCTGGAGATGTAGCTTAGTGGCACAAGCACCTGCTTGGCAAGTGCACAGTCCTGAGTTTGATTCCTGGTTAAAAAAAATTTTTTTAAAGCTAGATTTAAAAAGTTTTGGGCCAGGGAGGGGGCCTGGCAATAGCTCAGTTCTTTAAGTGGCTGCTTCCACAAAGCTGTGAGCCTCAGGTTGCTGGAGTTCCAACACTCCAGCCAGACAAACCATGCCTGAGGGCATTCAGAGCAAAATAAATAAATAAATAAAAACCCTTAAAAAAAAAAAAAAAAGTTTTGGGCCAGGGAGATAGCTCAGTAGAATAAGCACTTGCCTAGCAAGTGCAGGGTTCTGAGTTCAATCCCTGGTACCACAAAAATAAATAAATAAACAAATAAATAAAAACAAATGCATAAATAAAAAAGAAAAAATACAAATAAAATACAATGTGCTGGTGAGATATACAGAAAAAGCCCTTCTATAAATGTAAATTAGTTCAACCACTGTGGAAATCAGTATGAAATTTCCTTTAAAAACCTACAGGCACATTTTTAGAGCTTTAGAAAACTATTCTAGAAAATCTTGATGAAATACCACACAATAGCAAAAGACATTTCTCCTTACATATTTCAGGATTGACCTTTGTCTCTATCTTCTGTCTGTTGACAATGGACACATTTCCTCAAACTTGGAGATGGCTTACAGAAATGACTAGTAGTATGCAAAAAGCATGAGGCAAAAACCCAACATCCCTAACATTTCCTGTATAAGTATTAGTAGTAGTAATAGTAATAATATTTTCAATGTGGAAGAAAATCTCTAAAGATTATAAAGAAACCAAAATTTTAAATTCTTCCTACTTTTAATGATTAATTTCCTACATGACAGTAAATACATCAAATACTTTTTCTTTTCTTTCTTTCTTTTTTTTTTTGTGTGTGTGTGTGTGGAACTGGGGACTGAACTCAGGCCTTTGCACTTGGCAGGGCAACGCTTATTCCACTGAGCCATCTCCCTGGCCCCTCAAATATTTACTTTTAAACCTACCTTTCCAAGGTCAGGTTGAGGTAAACAAAACACCCAAATGAATGACTAGCTTGTAAAGGCTGAGAAAAGTTGTTTATAGTTCATTACCCTGCGTAAATTTAAAATACAATTTCCTTAAATTGGGGGCATTTTAGAATGTTATTCCTACAAATACACACCTCTCGCCTCCAACAACCAACTGCCGTTCTCACCTGTGTTCTGAATCTTGCTCCTCTATTGGTTCAGTGTCCTTGAACGTGGACAGTCACCTTTGCCCTAGTAATCTCAACATACTTGACCTACTCATCTGAACTATACTGGATATGAGTCCCTTTCCTTCTATTAGATTACTGAATTTTGGAGCTGGGGATACAGCTCAGAGGCATAAGTGCCTACCTGGCAAGCACAAGGTCCTGAGTTCGATCCCCAGTACCGCCAATAAATAAATAAATAGATTACTGAATTTTCTGTTTTATAATTATTTTGACAAGTGAACCTTAGCAAAGCGTTTTCCAAGTGAATAGCTGATTTGTGCGATCTGTAGACAAAATTGAGTCTTAACATTATCTTACACTAGGTTTAAAAAAAACTCTTAAACATTTACTTGGGCTGGCCAGATAGCTCAGTGGATTAAAGCCCCTGCCTAGACAGACACAGGGACCAGGGTGCGATCCCCAGTGTGTCGTGCTGGCCCCGCCCCCAGGGTGCACTGAGAGAGTGATTGAGACTGGGCCTTAGCAGTGTAAGCCTGTAATCCCAGCACTTGGGAGGCTGAAAACAGGAGAATCACTACGAGTCTAGTCTACATAATGAGACCCTGTAGTCCCTGTACTAAATACATAAAAAAAAATTTTTTTAAATCATTTGCTGGAGCTCTTTAAATGTTAGTTTCAACACCTGTAAAAGGAACAAAATTGCTTACTGATATGTTAATTGAGAAAGTGAATGATCACTATTTATTAGGCACATTATTTAAGTACCCAATAAATTCATAATTAAACAGGAAATCACTGAAAGACAAAATATAAATGGTATGTGATAGTATCAGTCAGGGTTTGAGTAGAGAAACCGATATAAGAGCAGATGTACAGGGGCTGGAGAGATGGCTCAGTGGTCTAAAGCACCTACATGGAACAAGCTTGGCAAAGCACAGGGACCGCGGTTCAATCCTCCAGCACCACATGCCAGCCAGCTGCGCCTCCAGGTGGGCTGAGCTGGCCACACACATACACACACACACACATACACACACATACACACACACACACAATAAATGTTAAAATAAAAAAAAAAAAAAGAGCAGATGTACAAATGTGTGAGAAATTACAAGCGTGGCACCTGACGGTCAGCCAGAGTCGGATGAGGAAGCGCGCAGAGGACGTCTGCACGCTGGAGACCGGAGGGTTCAGTCCGAGGTCTGGAGCTCGCTGCCATGTTCCATGCAAGTCCTATCAGCCGGCCCACGGGTCTGCCATGGAAGGCTTTTGAGTCTGCACCAGAAGGCTGAAGGGTCCAGAAGGCTGAATATTTATTGGAGGAGGAAAGTTTCTGTCCAAGAGAGGGACAGAAGGGAGACCCGAGTGGATACCTGGGAAGCTGCCTTTTCCAGGTTATTATAGAGAAAAACCCTGTGGTGAGGCAGGTCTAAGGTGGCAAGCATGGGGAACTCACTTAGGTGGGCATGAAGTGGAACAATACTATGGTTAACCAATGAGATTACAAGCACCATTGCTGAAGTACGATTGATTAAATCGGAATCAAATGGGGAAGCAAGTCACATAGGAAGTGGGCGGGAATACAGAGCAAGGTCTCTTCCTGTTAGGGCTGGGTTGATGCCTCTTTTGGGACTCTTCCAAGGTGATTGGTACCTACTTCGAATATCAATCCCTGATGCTGGTCCTTAGGGAAGTGTGTGGCTGCATTTGTTCACTCTTTTGTCCTGAGGTCTGGCCCACAGCGGGAGTGTCTGTCTCTTCCAAAGTTGCAAAGTCGTTGAATTCAAACACCTATAGTATTTAGATGCCAACAGAATACCCACCTCTGACAGGACTAAACAAAAAAAAAGGTGATACAAAGGAAAGATCAATTTGTATTTATATATACAAAATAGGAGAGACATACAGTTACCTTCGCTTAATTCAGTGAGAAGAAAAAGGTGTACTAATAGTTTTGGACAGGATATCTTGTCTGCTTCTTGTACTATGGATAACCACTAAGAAGATAACAATGTACCATGTATTGATTATCGAACCTGTCCTGTTAATCAGCTTTGAAACTGTCTCATTCATATTTGTTTCTCAATAAAATTAAAATAAAAAGAGAAAGGAAAAAAAAAGCTGCAAAGTCACCTTGTCTTCCGTATTGTCCTTGAGGGCCTGCCCTTTGTGACTGCCTATAATACTTCTATCTAATTTAGCTGGCTGCAACA